GGGGTTGTTTTGTTTTGGGGAGTTTGAAAAAAATAGATTATGTCAGTCGCATAATTCCAAAATCTTTTTAGTCTATTGTGTTTAGTTTTCGTAAAACATTTTTCTCACAGCCATTGTCGATAATGATAAAATATACCATAGTATTATTTTCATTACTGTTGTAGATAGTGGTCATGCTCCTTTTGTTGTTGTTTTTCTCATAACTATTGTAGATCTAGATAGGGATCATGCTTCATTTTTTTTTTTTCATTACTATTGTTGTAGATAGTGATCATGCTACATTTTTTTTTCATAACTACTGTAGACAGTGATAAAATATCATACCATAATATTATTTTTGTCATCACCACTGTCATTGTCAATAATGATAAAACATCATAATGTTATAAATGTTTGTTTTTAAAAAATTGTAACTGTTTTTGATAAAGATAAGATATCATTTCATATTTCCATAATAGTTAAAGCATCCTTTTTGCTATCATCTGGTCAAAATAATGTTGGTACATTGACTAACAATGTACTTTTGCGGCAGTTTGGTGGCCGGAGTTATCTATAAGGCATATTACCCGCACAATTGTAACATAATAATTGTCGATGTCATTTTTGTTTTGTTTTGCGAGGTTTATTATTATTATTATATTATTAATATGTCTTTTCGAGAAAACCAATTTTTTTTATTTGACCTTACTCACTCTTATGACATGAGCAAACGTGAACAGGAAATGTCTCAATCATGAGATGCTTAGGTACACGATAAAAAACAACTGCATTATTGAGGATGTGAAACAAGTCAAGTAACACTTGTAAACATCCGTTCCAATAGGCCTAGCTAGAGACCTGATAGATGGAAGTGGGCACGTGTGTTCAGATCGGGACGCTGTTTGTTTAACTATGAGATAGGAGAAAATGAATTAGTTGTGTCCTGAAGATGACAACGACGATGACAGTTTTTATTTTTAAATTGTGAACTCGTTGTGGTCCTGAGAACTCTCATTTGCCTACAATGACAGTTTATTATTGTGTGGAACTCGTTGTAGCCTCGAACTATGTTGTAGTGACGTAAGCAGTCTTCTGGTTCATCTGATTATCATGATGACAATATGTGCGGGGGTGCCACCGGTAGGTCTGATTTGTTTAATTAACTTGTCGTCTGATATTCCTGTCTGTCTTATTTGCCTGTCTATCTTGCTCTTTTAAAGCACTGAATGGTGCCGGTTATTAATTGTGTTGATAGACTATAGTCGCCATGAGTCCAGATGGTTTTGTCTTCAACAGACGACATATTATTTCAGATGTTGTTGATGTTGTTTTTTTTATTAGTTCATGTCCACTTCAGAGCCACCGCGGCCTCCTCCCC